TCCTTCCTTCCTTCCTTCCTTCCTTCCTTCCTTCCTTCCTTCCTTCCCTCCCACACAGCTCATCCCGTTTTGCTGAACATCTGGTCTTACAAAGAGCTCCAAATAACTCAAGTGCCGGCCCCTTCTTTTGTGATGCTTTGGTGGGACCTAGAAAAGCTGTCGTCCCACTGCAGAGAAGAAAGAAATCCACAACTTCTGTGCCACCGGAGAGGCGGCACAAAAAACAGAGACAGAGCCAGGAGAACAAAGGGGAAATGGCATGTATCACAGCAATATCATAAAGCATGAAGGGGTTTTTAAATTCCATTTGATGGGCATCAGATGGAGAGCCATATTCTAGGGGGAATTACCCTTGTTTAGAACCTCTTCACCCCTCTGCTTTCCTGGTAGACCTTGGCAGGGAACCCAAGACCTACACCACAATCAGGGTACCTGTCCGATTGCAACTGACAGATCTCTGCAGGTGAGAAGCAATAGGAATAGCGTACCAGCAGCCCAGCTGCTTTATTACGGACTTGGAGTGACAGCTGGGCCCAGCTTTTCCATCTGCAACCAAATCTGATTCCCTCTCCAGGCTTCTGAGAGGGAGTTTCAGCACCTTGGATAGCATAACTCAACTGTCTGCTTGGAACAAGTCAAAAATCGATATTTTCCAAAGACTGGAGTAGTATCATCAAAAAAAGGCCAGGTGTTCTGGCTGAACAGTTACCCTTTCCTCGCTGTGGCCCTGGAAAACCTGACGCTCTTCCCAATCTCTGTGTCAGCCTCTGGTCCAAATAGTGTGGCTTTCTGTCAATTGAATTTATTTATTTGATTCATGCCCTGCCAGCTGTCAACCAAGAAAAATGGCCCTCGTCTCTCCATTAACGCGCATGGCCGTAGCCTTTGAAATAAGGCAGGGAAAGAACTGTTTTTTTAATGCTCGTAAGATGCAATGTTGCTTACTGTCTCCACAAAGAGAAGGGAAAACTGGGACGTGTCAGTGTGCCGAAATTCTCCAAACATCACTTCCAACCTCGGTTCAGCCTGCTCTGGTTTTTTTGTTTTTGTTTTTTTGACAGATCCCTTGAATCACGCCCTTATCCTTATTCTTTCCTGAAAAATTAGAGTGAAAAGTTCACACGTGTGTTTTTAAGTGAGACATAATCGATTCCAAATCATTATTTTGAGATGATAACTCCATACTCAAATCATCCTTCTTAAAACAATGTTAATAATGCTTTTAAAGACATCTGTGTTTAAGCCGAGGAGGGGGGTGTTGCACGTTCAGGACATAAATGTTTTGCTCACTAACTGATAGGCAAAACTGTTTGCAATAAACTCTGAGCCCGGAAAATATAGTCTCACAGCTGGCTGCTACTCCAATAACCTTGTAACCCAGGTGACATGGTTTTACTCTTTGAATACCTTCCAGGTCACCTTGACAACTATTTTTATGCTAGTTACCCAGAATTCTCTTCAAGCCTGCTTTCTGCCTTCATATGTCCTCCCATTAATACTTTTTTTTTTTACTGATTTCCATTTGATAACGAGACGTTCTGTTTTACAAGGAGAAGGCTAGCAATTTCTCAGCAGCTTCCCCGTAAAGTCCAAATATCTGCTATTTTCTGAAGAATCCAAGATGTGTGCCCATTTCCAAGGGTCATGAAGCGTCTTGGTTTATCCATTCAGAGCTTTTTAATCTCACCCTGTGGCTCACCCTTTGGCCTCTGCCTACAATATAAAAGTCACGACACAAGAGAAAATGGGAGGAGGAGGGAGGAGAAATCAAGGTTTGGCACGAGATTGCTAGCTGCAAAGTTCAGTGGGTCCTTAGACTAAATAATAATAATAATAATAATAATAATAATTATTATTATTATTATTATTATAACATTTCTATGCCGCCCCTTGCCGAAACCTCGGGGCGGCTTACAACATGATAAAATACATTGAAATACAATAGTACATAATAAATTACCATTAAATATAAAAATACAAAAAATACATTGATTTACAAAAATAAAATTAAAATTATCAGTATAAAATAAAAATATAGGAGGAGAAAGAGAAGGAAGAAGAAGTTGCCCTGGCCAGATCATATGTTTTAACAATTGAAATGATGTTTAAATAAAAAGGTCTTTACCTGGCGCCGAAAAACCCGTAACGAAGGTGCCAGGCGGACCTCTTTGGGGAGTGAATTCCATAGGTTGGGCGCCACCGCAGAGAAAGCCCTCCTCCGGGTACTTACTCTCCTAATTTCTTTCATGGAGGGTTCCCGGAGAAGGGACTCTCCCGCAGATCTCAAAGGGCGGTCGGGCATATACGGACGTAAGCGCTCGTTCAGGTAGCCAGGACCCAAGCCGTTTAGGGCTTTGTAGGTCATAATCAACACCTTGAATTGGGCCCGGGCTTCAATGGGAAGCCAGTGAAGCTGACGGAGGACTGGAGTCATGTGAGCATAATGCCCCATCCCTTATTATAATTATTACATTTTTATACTGCCCATAGCCAAAGCTCTCTGGGCAGTTGACAGCAATAATCATAGAATCATACCCTCAAGTCACCCATCCCACTTCTGCCCAGGCCTGACCCTGCTTAGCTTCCAAGATTAGGCAGGCTCAGGCACTTCAGGCTACATGGAAGCTACAACACTGTCCTGTGAACTTGGTGGCACTGATCCTGGACCTCGCAAATGGCTTCTTCTTGGCCAGACTGGGCAGATTCCAACTTTAGACCCTTATTCTCGGTTCAGCCCTAAGTCCCTGCAGGGCTAGGCAGGCGTGATCCAAGTTTCGCTTGGTCTTGCCTCTTCGTTCCACATTGCCAAGAAAAGCGGCAAAGCCCTTTTCGGGTGATCGGGTGGTTCAGACCTTGCAGCGTTTGCCAGTCCCGTCGACAAAATTCACAGGGTACAGGAGAACCCACCTGGCCTTATCCAGTGCTCTGGTAATGAGCACCTGAAGAGAGAGGACTGCTCAGGCGATGCTGCTGGACCGAGAGAAACCGCTGGATGTTCCAAATGCTGCCATAAATAGGCTCGCTGGGCTGCTGGCCCGGCCTGATTTCCTTGTGTCCTGAAAGACAAGCATAGAGGCAGTCGGGTCTGTGGAGAGATGGTGACAGGGGATTATGGGAAACGGAGGGAAGCACGGACGGAAGGCAACTACTCTTCTTTCCCAGGAAGCCTGTTCTTCTAATTTGTCATGTTTAAACCTGCAACTGCATTTTAAGTCTTTCCATCCTTCCGGCACCTGGGAAGACGTTCCTCTCCTCTCAGGCATCTGGCATATTATGGCACTTTAATCGGGATTTTCTTAATTGTTTAACTGCACAGTCCAGTGGAGATGGCTGTAAGCTCCTGAAACTGGAAGATTGTGGGCTTCCAGAGCCAAACGGGGAAGGGCAACAGAGGCGCTTTGGGACATTTTGGAGTAGGAGGAAAGGAGGTTGCAGCGGCCACGCCATTCTTTGGATCCTGGCCGTTCCAGCCTGCCAGCTGATCTCCAGGATGCCTCCTAGCAGCACCAAGCACCTCCCCTGCACCTGCCTTTCCCAAGCATGACTCAAGAGCCACATGATTCCAGAGCCGAAACAAGGGACTTCTGAGAAAACGCACAGGCTGCGAGCAGGAGGGTGGCCAGAACCCGGTCATGCCGGGAAGGAGGGGCCGGCACCACGAGCCACCTGTCTCCACCGCGGCAGCTTAAAATACACCCCCTCTAATCTCTCTTCGTTCAATTTCCCACTGACTCAGCAGATGACTCTGTGCAGCTCCCGGGACTTCAGACTCCTCTCCACCACCTTGTCTGGGGAACCCTCTCTTGCATTCTCCTACTTTTGGGCTAGTTCCCAGGGCGAAGGAGGCCGGCTGGGCCGCCATTCCTCCGGGAGGGGGCCCACAGGGACTGCTTGCCGCTCTGGGCTTGCTTCCCCTGCTCGGACTGCTGCGCACAGCATGGCTTTGCCCTGTCCCCCCACCCACCCGAATTCTCCTGGGACCACTTTCCTGGCAGGCTCCCTCCAAATATCTTGGAATGGAAACCCCATCTGCCCCAGCCAGCGTGGCCAGATAGCCTTCCCCAACCTGGAGCCCTCCAGATGCCTTTGGCTACAGGTCCCATCACCCCCAGCCAGCAGCGCCAACTTTGTTGTATTTGAGATGACAGCAAACCTTATGCCTGCTTTCCTAGAGGGCCTTCCCTGGGGATTTGCGGAGCCCAGGCATGGATCAAGGTGCGAGGAACCTGCGACCCCTCAGAAGTATCATTACGATGTCACTCTTGTTGTCTTTATTCCTCTTCCAACAAACCCAAAGCAGCGTGCACGGTCCTCTTTTATTCCATCCTCACAACAACCCTGTGAGGTAGGAGAGGCTGGGAGTCTATGACTGGCCCAAGGCTCACAGGGAGCTTCCTGGCCAAAGCAGAATCCTGAATCCAGATCCCCTCAGTCCCAGGCTGCAGAACATGCTCCCTTTGGAGTGTGACTAGTCCCTGATCTCGCTCTCCCCCCACCCACCCACCCCGCTCCGCTCCTGGGA